TATGAAAAGGCACGGACAATGTTATTTGCGTACATGTGAATGGAAGTGGATGTTCGCTGTGCGTTTCTTTTTTGTCCCTTTGGCGCACCATACTATTCTTAGGCGTGTGCACCCTGAACGTCAAACGGTTACTTATTCAACGTTCGAATATGGAACAGTTACTTGTTCAACATTGAATGTCGAACGTCAAACGAGGAACGAGGAACTAACTTCACATCGGTGTCTGAGAAAACCGTGTGCAAGTCGAAAATATCGTTCCGATGTGTTGCCTCTTGGGATGTGACCGCACAAATGGGAATACGTGCATGGACAAAACGCTTTAAACAGTTGGTTAAGGCCTGACAAGAAATCTTCAAGTTCATTTCCCTCTACATTTTTCACAATTTTCCAGCAAAATTATATGTACAAGTATAAAGAAATCATGCAATATGTGTATGCAGCAATACTTTCACGTCAATTCGTCCACCGATCGGCTAGATTATGGCCGATTTCCAATATCAGACTTCGTCTCCATTGCGGGTTTTGTTCCCAAAACCAATCCCCGATTGGGGGCCTGAAGCGTTTAAATTAAAGTGGATTAATGTAATTTTTACCTTTCTCTTTGATATTATGTGGCATTCTTAGACTAATTACTTCGCTTACAGCTTCAAAGTCATTAAGTAAAAACCCGGTTGAAGCCTGCAACGCAGTCAAAGTTCAGTTTGGAAAACCGGATCAGCTGATCGCACAAAATAAGGACATGTGCAAACACGTAGGCAAAGCGGCACTTGTATGCATGAGTTTCAAAATGTGTATAAAGTCAATGGAAGGAATTAAATTTTCAAAATTAAATAATAAATCACTTCATGATGTCAAAGTAAGGTGATTCTTCCATTTCTGCTGTATAGTCTTTGCTTAGACCATTTTTCATTTTGTGGAGTGTCTTTGGCCATGCCACTCTGGCAGTTGAAAAACGTGTACAAAACATATGGGAAGAATTAAATATTCAACATTCAAAAATAAATAACGTGATGGCATTATCATTCCTAATTTCCTCTAGGACCTACCTAACATAAATATGTAAAGGTCTACAAAGTTTGAAAGCAATCAGATAAAGGAAACTATCAACGTCCCTTGTCACAAAGAAAGTGTCTGATAAAGGAAAAGACGAAAAAAGGGAAAAAAAATATTAACGAAGACAATACCTGCTTCGGCAGTGAAGCCGGAGAAGCTAAAAAAAAAAACCTAGATAGAAGTTTTTGTAAACAAGTGCAAACACAAAGCTCTGTCAGGACTGTTTCAATACCAAAATATGAGAGCGTAAAAATGAACAATTTAGTATTTTGGACGTGACATATACCCCGAAAAAGTTTAATTCATAATCAGTTTCAATCAATGCAATTGGATGTCCACTTCAGAAGATGATCTAATATGACTTGTCACGTGATATTATTCTCACAGTTGAGAGTTTGCTTTGTACTTTGTGGGGCCTCTCACAATAGCATGAACATTATAATACTTAAGATAACATATACGACTGTTCCGACTGTTGTCGAGTATGCATTGTCACTCTAAAGACCAAACAACTTTGATAATATCTAACATAACAGTAATTGATTGCACATTTCACATTTTCTGTGTACAAAATATAAGAAAAAAAATTGCAGGACCACTGTAGATGACATCTGTTTTACTATCTTGAACACTTTGGCGCAAAAATGAATTTCACTTTGATAACTGTAACTAGAAGTTGAACTGTACGATACACACTTCAAAACTACTCTGACATTCTTTGACAAAGGACGACACGCTGAATGTGCATGTTAAGGGTATGGTGTTGTCATTGACTTCATCACCCGTCTTGTTTGAGGTTCAGGACTTAATACGCCCCCCAGGCAGATCATCAGGTGCCAGGCCCCCTTTTTTATCAACGAAAAAGTAGAATCCAGGCAAAAGTAATAACATTTGACATGTCGATAACGTCGATAATGTCCGTTATGAAAAAAAAAGAAATTACTGATGACGTCATCACTAAATGAGCTCAATATTTGCCTAAAGCACTTCCTCTCCAAGATATAAGCAAGGTTTCAACCCAGCACTAACACCGACAGACTCATTTTGTTGAAAAAAAAAACTAAATGGCTTTTACCACTTTTAAACAATAAGCCTACTTCCGGTTTCAACCGGAAGGAAGGGTCATGTTATTTGACCTAAACGAGACGAAATCAAGACAACATTTTATCCTGGCACTTGCTGCAAACAGAATGTTTGCGCGAGGCCACGGTTGATTTTATATGGGTTTTTATACATTTAAAGGAATATTTAAGTTTTCAAAAAAACGGGTACATAACCGATGGGAAAAAACAAATATTCAAAAAATAATATAAAATAAGATGATGATGTCATCATGACGTCATCACTTTGCAATAAATGTTGCATCAGGGTCTTTGTTGGCTATCACTTTGGGAACGATCAAACATTGCCAAGTTACAACAATTGTGGCCCAAAACGTATACAAAGTCAATGGGCTAGAAACACGCGTGCAAGAAATCTGATTTTTGTCTAAACTGGAAAAAACTTCAAACATTATTCAGTATTTGGACTCTTGGGTATATTTGCAATCCAACGGAAGGGAAATTACCGAGGGTAATTCTCGGTCGAAGTTGAGGACTGCTCACGCACTATGCTGGACAATGTGTGTACAAACCCTATGTTGTGCAGCAACGCCATCTATGGTTCAACATATTGAAACCCCAGGCAGGTGTAACCGTAGTTCTGCGATAGCGCTCTCATAGCCTGATATAGGACAGTCCGAACACTGTGTATAATCTGTGTACAAAGTCTAGGGGAAAAATTAATTATTCAAATATCAATAATAAATAAACTAATTAAGTTATCACTGTGCATTTCTTCTAGAATCGTTCTTGGATGCTTGTCCAAAGGTCTGCTAGGTATGAAGTCGATCAGATTTAGCAAACTGCCAAAGTCGACTGCTGGAAGGAATTGTGTTGAAAAGAACAAAAAATAATAACAATCAGAAAAGCAATACCTGTTTCGGCAAAGTTGCCGAAACAGCTTTAAAAAAAAAATAATAATCAGAAAAGCAAGAGCTGTTCCGGCTGTTGCCAAAACAGCTAAAAAAATTGCAAAAAGAATGCCTTTTTCGCAACTTGCGAAAAGGCCAAAAAAAGGGAAAAAAAGAAAAAAGAACACAAAAGAAATGCCTTTTTCGCAACTTGCGAAAAGGCCAAAAAAAGGGAAAAAAAGAAAAAAGAACACAAAAGAAATGCCTTTTTCGCAACTTGCGAAAAGGCCAAAAAAAGGAAAAAAAAGAAAAAAGAACACAAAAGAAATGCCTTTTTCGCAACTTGCGAAAAAACAAAAAAGACAGAACAAAAAGAATGCCTTTTTTCGCATCTTGCAAAAAGCCAAAAAACAGAAGAAAAGAATGCCATTTTCCCAAAATTGCGAAAAAGCGAAAAAAAGAACAAAGACAATACCTTTTTCGCAAAAGCGCAAAAGAGCCAAAAACTAAAAAAAAACTTGACAAAAGGAATTCCATTTCCGCAACTTGCGAAAAAGCCAACAAAAAACAGCACAATGAGAATGCCTTTTTTGCACAATTGCAAAAGAGCCAAAAGTAAAAAAAAGGACCTTGACAAAAAGAATGCCTTTTCTGCAACTTGCAGAAAGTCCCCCCCCCGAAAAAAAAGAACAGAACAAAAAGAATGCCTTTTTTCGAAAAATGAAAAAAGCCAAAAAATGAACCAAACGAATGCCCTTTTTGCAAAGTTGGGAAAAATCTTTAAAAAAAATACAAAAAATGCCTTTCCCCAAAATTGCAAAAAAGCCCCCAAACAACCTTGACAAAACATAATCCTTTTTTTTGCAACTTGCAAAAAAAAAAAGAATGTCTTTTTTGCAAAGTTGCGAAAAAGCCCCCCAAAAGACTTGATGGCGGGAGTCAAATCAATGTTAATATTAGCCACTGAAATAAAGAATTTCTGATACAGCACCCACCCTAAAAAAATTCCCCTTACTCTGAATACCCTGTTGTGATATCATGATGTCGCGCAAAGAACAGCCTCGCTCCATGTATTTATCCATGCAACACGTATAACATTCATCTTCCTTCGTTTCGGCCTGAGTCAGCAATGGCAGATTCTGAAGTTTCCAAGAGTGATTTGGAAGTTGTTTTTTTCGGAGGAAGAGTTTTACAGCTTTGCTTGGAATTGCTGTATTTTTCAGCTGGGGTGTTTTTGGTATTACAAACTCTCCATGAAGCGTTTTCTCGTAGTCATCGCCTGTAAAATGGTCACTGTAGCCTAGATGACACTCATCAAGGACGGCTCGTCCCAGTTTGCCCTGGTCAAGCGCACTTTTGCTGTCCAGATTTTCTACAATGCTAGGTCTGGGAACAGGCGTACACCGATCTTTGGTGTATTGCTGCATCCTGCAACGAAACATCTAATCAGCATTGTTGCTTGCTGTGGCAAAGTTTCAAAGATTTTTTTTTTTTCGGGGGGGGGAGGCACGATACCTTGGCAATAAATCGGTCAGTCCACGCGTAACGCTGGGTTAGTAGCCTTACCTTGAAGATCGGGTTCTTTACGTGAGGGCACAAAAAATGCTAACAAGTCGTCAAAATCAGCAAAACCGATGGAGATAAACGAAAAACGGACACAGTTAACACAGGAATGGTCTTGGGTAGCGGAGAACCTTTACCAAAATGACGTCATGGTTTGTTTACATTTTCGCTTCTCTTTGACAGAGAAGTGCGACGCAAATCCACCCAGTCCTCATGGAAATGTTCATACGTAGACAAACCATGATATCATCAGGCTTCAGGACTTTTGGTCAGGTTACCTTGGTCTCATATTCTGCTTTTGTTGCATATCTTTATAACAAATAACCAGGAAGTAACAAACCCGTGATGGGGAGTGAACCCACCTACCACTCTAGGAAAGTTACATCAGTTACTTAGTAGCCGAGAATAAAATTATAACTCATTGTTCTAACAGGATGGACCGATCCGTCTCACCGTGTAAACCCTTGGTGGAAAGTGGACCTCGGTGCTATCTACTGCATAAGGAAAATTACGCTGGTTAATAGAATAGGGAGTAGCGCACACGTTGGTAAGTAGGCCTAAGCGGAGTTCCAATGGACGTTGTTGGATAAGGTTGGGCTTGGGATATCAGCGTTAAATTTTACAATGTTGATTCTTTGGTGTGAAGGGGTTGTTAGGGTATAATTCGGAAATTTATTCATTTCCATTGAACTATCAGGAGTGCAATAGCATCTTATTCAGGACTCATCAGCTGCATTGGTGGAGAGAGGGGAGGTGGCCAATAAATAGAGTGTAACCGGATAGTGACTGTGTACACTGTAATCAAAACTTTGTCATTTTGTGCTCAAAACGACTTATATATGTCAGTCGGGTCTTTATGACTTATTAAATCAAGACATGACTAATATTTAATCAACAGTGACTGACTTTGGACTAATTTTTAACTTATCTTTGACGAATATATGTTAGTCATTGGCCTGTCTAAATTAAATGAGTCAATGGCCTCTCTAACTAATTTAAAGTGGTCCTTTTAGACGTAGAGTTGGACTTTTATTGGTTAAAATCACAAATCTTTGTTTGCAGCGAAGAATACCATAGCAATGGTTAAAAGTTATAGTTAAACAATAATCAGGATTTTATATCTCCATCAAATGCTGTGTTTAATCTAGAGTATGAGTTAGTCTCATTAGGACTAACGTCAATCACCCTGGAGGGAGATCCACAGATTTTTTTTCCCAAGGGGTGTTAAGGCCTGTAATTTTCTGATGTCCACTTGTTGTGGACACGTTGACACGGGTAAAAAAAAAACCACTGTGTTACTGATGTTCTTGCATTTAAACACGAAGTAAGATGTAATTCCCTTATATTAAATTAACGTGTTAAGGCGACAGTAAACAAGTTGTAAGCACGAATTCAGAAGGGTTTGGGGTAAACGCCCCCTCTTACCCTGGCATCCAAAATGATAACAAAATAATAATACCTACATTAAGTTCTTATTGTTAACTCAACTGTATGGGAGTTTGCAGGGAAAAAAAAGTCAGGCTCAGGATGCACAAGGTAGGAACGAAACACAAGCTCCCTCAAAAGGGGAAGATGTGCTAGAGAAATGGGCAGGGTGGTCGAAATCAAAAGAATTTTACTTAACGATACCCTTACTGTTACACCACTCTAATCTAACCTACTAGACTGTCGAAATTTCAAATTCTAGACTTTTTTCTGGGTACATAAAAATTAACCGAATACGTGTACCATTTCCGTAGATGTTCCTGGAGAAACCTTCATACGTGTGCGTTGCTATTGAGAAATCAGTTCATCTGTATGAAAAAAAATCAAATGATTCTACTTCATTAACTGACACACACTGTGCATTGAGAGAAAACCTCGCTAATTTTTCAGTTTTTAGTTTTCCATCTGTGGAAAGAAAATTACGGATGGAAAGTTGCACATGATATTCTTAGCGTTACGTCCTATTAGTTATCACACTTGTATTTTGGGTAGCTTTTCGACTACGTGGTAATGTAATTCGTGCTGGTATGAGCCCAGACCACCTGCGTAACCCAGAGATCGGCCGAGTAAGAGACGATCAAGCTGTAGTCGGAGCGGTTGTGGAATTTACACCATACCCCTTTCTCACTGCACAATACGTCAGCGTGGACATCCCTAGAAGCGGGGAAGTTGATGGTGTGCAGACCATAGTGCAGTTGACAGAGGTTATGGTTGAAGAAGTTGTCATGGAGACAGAAATGGATTCAAAATCAGCAGGTAAGAAAAAGGTGACTGCGTTATTTTCAGACAACCTAGTTTTGGCTTATATACTATACTATATACTATTTTCGTGCATAAAAACATCAAGCAATTACTCCAGAAGAGATACCTTTCAAAGGATAATGATGGATACATTACAACTTCTAAGTCTGATTTTAAATGTTCAAGTTAACAATAATGTAAGAGGCAGGAATAGACATGTATCCATCTTTACCTTCAGATTTTGGCTAATGTGACTAGTGACCAGGTGTCCACTACTGACCATTCAAAATCTATTGCCTAATGTCTGGACGTTCGAACAAAGCTTCGTCTTCTTGTCGGTGGTGATCGCTACGCCATTCCAGCCGCACTTCCACTATGGATAATTTTAGTCACCCACTATGATAGAACAACGTAGAAGGCGAGTCGCCTTGGCGTATCTCCTTGCACCCAAGAAGTCAAGGCAAAAGCAGACTCGAATATCAACAGGCGCAATTCTAGAGCCCTGGGGCGGGAGAACCCTTCTTAAATGACGTCACCTTTTAATTTTCGCTACTGTTCCTTCACCTTTTGCATTTGGGCGGGGGAGGACTGGGCGAAAGTAACCTTCCTACAGAGTCAAACCTGATTACGCCCTCAGAATATACGTCAGAAACCTGAGACCCCGTAAACCATTTAAGTCATTCAAAATTGCCCGGAGCAAATTTAGCGGGCGACTGCTTAGTTTGTCTTCTGTGACTACCGATGCAAAATATTTGTATCTTTACTAACACTGTACAATACGTTGGGAGCAACTCCACCTTAGACGTCTGGTCTCCAAACAAATTATGTTTTGTAAGATTTATCATGGACTTGTAAACGTACAAAAAAAAACCGGTAGCCGCAGTCAAAGTTCAGTGTGAGGCATTGCATCTTAACGGATCCATGCCCACAACACATGGTTGGTGGCATGTAGATGTCGTATAATCTGACATGCTTCCTCACGAGCTATCTGGAAATACTGCCAAGCAAGAGTAAACGTAATTAAAGTAAATGCACGTTTGGCTCGGTGCACTTTTCCTTGTGTTTATTATATATTTTGTTATTAATTATTAACATTATACATAATGTTATTTTCACTGTGTTCCTTTTTCCCTAACACAGTCCTTGAAGCCCTAAATTCAACTAATCGCACCATCAGTCAGAGCTCAACCTATAATCAGAGCGGTGATGAGCGGGTTGCTTCGAGAGCCTTCGATGGCGCCTCATACTATGGAAACCCTCACTGTAGCCAAACAAGTAAGGGGATGTATGTCCCCCGGGTGAAGCCTGAACTTAATGAGACGGAAACGATGAAGTTGTACTTTTAGCTACTACTGTGTAGGAATGCGTTACCTTAAACATTGACGTGCACTAGATCCTCTTCACAGGCCCCTTTTGATACTTTTGAATTTCATCGAGACCCGTCTCCTCACACAACCGCGTATATAGTGATGGCATTTGCTATTGCTAACGATGGTCTTAAAGATATGTCCAGTCGTTCTGACATTCATCATTACTTTGATTTGTTAAAATGTTTATTTGCCTGTGTCACGTGCTGTTTCAACGCAGCTTTCAGACTTTCTGGATTTCTGTTTCAGATGAAGAGCCGAATCCATGGTGGAAGATAGACCTGGGTTCTGCCTGTTGCATTAGCAAAATCACCATTAGGAATATCGATGATCTAAGACGTAAGGTTCTTGGTATTTACCTAATGTTGTTACATGTAATAAAGATCGGTCGCCAACGTTTGAAGGAGTTTTCCAATAGATCAATGAGCGCACTTCTCTCTATATCGTGTAGCTGCAGTCCTTTGAGCTTAACATGGAAATTTAAACACTATGCTGAAATGGGACGAGTTTCTTTCACCAAAGAATCACAGTTTCCTAAAGTAAAGGTAAGAAAGAAGACCTGCTTGCCCAAAACCAAAAAAAAAACAGCGTTTTAAATTTGTCTTGATTTCTAAAAGCATGATCCAACACTATAGGTAGTGGCTATTGAAGTCATTTGAGAGAATGAGTAATGCAGGATAACTCGAGCATTTTCTTGCAAAGTGCACGATATAAAGTGCTTGTCCGCAGCAACATATTTACAAAACAAAATCCAAGGAACGAACTACCCCTAAATTTTCATCTAATTGTATAAATTTGAATGTACCAAATCATTAAATGTAAACTGACCTTCACTGTTGCTTTCTGGTTTGCCGTTCAGATTATACGCGACTAAATTTAACGGGCGCTGTTGCACGTGCTGGCCTGAGTGCCACGCCTACTGATAACGCCATGTGTGGATCTCCGGTGACTCAGTACCAAGCCCTGATAAACGATCGAATTGATATCCACTGCGAGCCGACCAAGCTGGCTCGGTACGTTAGCGTCGATATTCCGAGACGATCGTTTCTTATACTCTGTGAGGTCAAGGTATGGTCGTGTGAGCTCCAACCTCCAGGTTAGTAGTAATTTTAGGGGGGTTAAAGCCAATTGAGCAACAGAACTGAAGTGATTTGTCACGTTCTGTCAATTGCCAAGATGATTACAATGTAATAAACCAAAGATGTTTCAGTTGCAATACCTGCTTTCCAAGAATACTACGAGACGCTTAAGGTCGATACACTTTGAAAATAAAGTCAATCCCACCCGTGGAATTGACTTTTACAAACAAATTGATGGAATGTTTGCACATTTTGGTAAGCTATTCATTGAAGAGATTGTGACAGAATTTCTGTTATAGACGGTTTTTATTGACATACCCACTTGCCATTTCCCAAAGAGAAAACACAGACAGTTCAGGTTAACTTTACGGTTTGTTTCTGTTTCATTGAATGCTGCCCAATCCAGTGGGAAGAAGGAAGCAGTTCACCATAGTTACTGTTGGTCATGAGTTTTAGTTTACGAGTTTTATAGTTCTCTACCCCGTATAAGTGAATATTTAATTTTGTAATATTCAGGTTTTATCATTATCTTATGTATAACTTTTGCTTTTTAACTTTTTGCTCCCACGCAACATTGGAGCAGCCCTCACCTTGACTGATAATCCCATCTTTCAAAGTTCTGTGTTGAGTGGGCATGACGCTGACAGAGCCCTTGACGGACTCCCGGAAGATCCGTTCTGCAGCTTAACGAGTGAGTTTTCCATCAGAGGTTGTTGACATCGTTCCATGTAACATGCCTTATCCGAACGAATGCTCGGTTTGTACTTCAGTTTCTCTGTAACGATCGAAGAAGTGTAAAACAGTAGCAAGGCATCCTATTTTAAGTTTACGTTTATTGAATTTTATCAGAAAATTAAAGACAGAAGAGAACACACTGTAAAACGTAAGCGTGTAACTTCTAAAAGCAAATTAAACGGAAAGCGGTAACACTTTTTAAACATGTTGATGCAAAATAAACACACGACATGTTTATATGCTGAACACAGTGTTTTATTTCATAAAAGCAACGTATGTTTACGTTGAATATATGGGTGTTTTTTATAGCATAATGCATAATTTAAATACTTGTAATTATAAACCCGTTTGTGTGTTTATCTCAACGCCTAAACGTGTTTTCGGGCCGTAACACTTTTTATACACTTGTATGCGTTCACAAGGGGTGTACATGTAGTGTTTATGAACTACAAATTATTGGGTACCGATGACATACACGTGTTCAAGTCATACGCAGAGACCTGAAGAATTACATGCCAACTCCTACAACGTAACAGAGGAAGAACAAGTCAGGGGCGTTTACAAACACAAATGCCCCACTAAGACTGAATGAAATCCCCTAACCACGACTCAATAGAGCAAGCTGCAGTAAAACAGGAAAACATGAAAGAGTTGTGAACACATTTCAATATTAACGAGAATAACATGGGGATTAAGAGTATATGTGTTTGGAAAATTCAGGTGTAAGAAAAAAATGAAAAACAAAGTGAAGGTTCCTCAAATTATTGTGCTGACGAGTATTCTATTGTTCTAGCTTAATTGACCTTCGATCTCATTGTTTTGCAACCAAATTCAATAGGGTTCTTCAGACTATAGAGAACAATCGACACATCAAATCTGAAATCAGGAAAAACAATTCTAAAGTTATCGCGCTGACAGGATTTGTGGAAATGCACACAAGCGCACACACATCCGTGTTTGCCTGCAACTGGGGACCCCCTATTGTTCCTCTTTTGTTTGTACTTTAATTTTTTTACAAGACCACCCATATGTTTTGTACACAGTTGTCAATCGGGGACCCTCTGTCAATCGGGGACCTTATTTTCCTCTATTGTTCAAGGTCCCCAATTGAATGCAGAAACAAACTCACCAACACACGTAAAGACAAGGCGGAAACAGTATGCCCCTTCGACGGGGCATAAAACTTGGTTGACATATTACTGTTGACTTTATTTTTTAGAACATTATCCCCCATTTGAGATCTTGAAATACTATGCATATCAAATGCACGACCCTGGGTACGAAACGATTAAATGCAACTCTAATCAGTTCAGTTTCATTTGCAACTGACAACAGCTAGCAGATGTACAGGGACGCGAAAGGAAATCGAATTGCGCATGCACGTGAGTGTACATACAGCGCATGTGCTTAGTCGTGTCCAAATGATAAACACTATATTGAAGTGTGTCCTACGGATAGGTTTCTGACGCTTACACAAACACACACGGATAGCCTCAAATCGCCGTTCTGGCCAAGAAACCTCGGCTTTATTTCTCTAACGTACAAAACTGTGTCGTTCCACAGAGCTCTAGACATGAGGCGTCTAGGCGGGGACTGCGCAGGCGCGAGGCGAGAAAACCGCGGGCCGTTCGCATACCAGCGGGGGCAGCTAGCTAGCTTCATGCGGGTCCGAGCTGGCGCCCCCACCGGCCGGATCCGCTAGCGCTACAATATGTTGAAAACATCCGTGTTTGAACCCACCACGTGTTTAAACATTTAACATATTTAGCTTATAAACGTGTAAAACGTTCTTGGGATTTACAGTGTATCCATACATCACGCATGCCTCATTCCAATGCAGAAAATTCAGGATAGTCACGTGATTATAGTCTGTATTCAGGTTTGTCACAGTTTTGGTTGGAAAAGCTAGAGTTCCGGTTTCCATAATTTGTTACTGCCTTTTCTTCTTCGGCACTTGTCAACACAGGCTTGAAACAAGAAGTGGGGTGTCCTTATTAAACATATTGCAACTTTATTTACCAGATAAAGAGGAAAACCCGTGGTGGAGGGTGGATTTGCAGTCAGACAATTGTCTTGGAATAATCCGAGTGAGGAACACAGGCAGTCCATCCGGTGAGATCACAGGTGTATACGGAAGCCTGTTAGAGCCACGTGTCTTTCTCTTTCACGGCGGTGCGTTTCTCTTTCACGGCGGTGTGTTTCTCTTTTTGGCCGCGAGTTACGTAAGTCGCGGCTGCAAGTTACTGCCAACAACAAAAGAGAAACACACTGCCGTGAAAGAGAATCGCACCATGGCCCTAAGTGCTTCCGTAGGTGTAAATTATCTGAAAGCGTGCTCTACTCGACATTAGGACGCTAGATTCTGCAAGGTTATTCATAACACCGACTCTTCACAACACGTCATTTTGAAATCATATCAGGGGTGTTCGCGCACAGAGCACGCCCCATTTTTATGACACTGGTGAGTAAAGACTCTAAACAGTGTTAAGGATTCTTACTTCAATACAGAACTCGAAAAGAAGTCGAATCTTTACGTAAAACGCTTAAACTACCACCATGGCAAGGCTTTCTTTACAGAGAAAAATCCCGTATTACCTTAATGCAGAACAGAATTTGCTGAGTGCTGTCGCAAGGGCTGGCCTAAGCGAAGTTCCCACAGACAATATCATGTGTGGTACACCAGTGACCAGCGATCAGTCCACCATCAATGACTGGATAGAGTTTGCGTGCGATCTGCCGGTACTTGCCCGGTATGTTAGCGTCGACATCCCAGGAATAGGAAGCCTTAAATTGTGCGAGGTGACTGTGTCTGCATGTAATTTGCAGCTAAAACGTAAGGGTTTCAGGAATGTTTTTTACAAACTTGTCATTGTAACAATTATTTTAACACTATTTCGTCCGAAATTAATATATTGTTTTTTGTTGTGGTAATTTTCAAACTCGAATTTTCAAGCTTTTAATCATTTTCAGACAACGCAGCTGACTTTACTCTGATTGTAAATCCTGCCCTACTTGGTGTTAGTGGAGACGACAGTGCATGCATCACGGCCTATAAAGATGCAGACGATGTGACAGCCGGCGTAACGTTCGGTCGCCGGCTGCCAACAGGAGAGAATAGCAATGACCTCCCCTCTGGAGCAGTGGTACTGGCTGATCCGTCAACGGGATGTGCAGACAAATTTGTCTTGCGACTACCAGAAGAGGGTGGATTAAAAAGAACTGGTGTCTTTTACTCAGAGAGGATCAAAAATGACATCAGAATCAGAATAGAGACCATCATTTTACCGAAAGATGGTAAGAAAACCATTCATACGAGCTCAGACGTTTATATTTTGTACCTTTCAGAGCAGAAATTGACATCTCAGACTAAATTATCATGCGTTACCTTGTTTCATGCCCTTGTTAAATAATGACGTGACTTTGTGCTATGTTTTTATACTTAAGATAGTTACGTCCATATTCGCCCTGCTCAACCAACACAAACAGCAAGTATCGGAGACAACGTGAAGCTTGAAATGCACAATGTCAACTCGCCAAATATTTACTACAGATGGAGACATAATGGCGGTGATATAATTGTCTCTTGGAATGACCGCCTGACTGTAGCAATTCCTGCTGCAACCAAGGAAAATGAAGGAGTTTACACGTGTTTCTCTTCAGGTCAAGAGGACAAACAGCTGCATGGAATCACAAAGCTCATAGTGAGAGGTAGGTGTCAAGTAATTGGCAAATATGCTCAGACAAATCCTTGGTTTCCCAATATAAAAACCATAAAACTTTCCATAAGCTATTAGCACTTTCCTAATTAAAAAATCGGTCTGCTACTTGTTAACTTATGAGAGTGCAGTCAGTAGGTTAATTGAACAGTTTCTAAGCAACATAAATAATAAGTAAATTCTAATTTAGGCCCAATGAAATGTATGGTTACACATTTCAACGTCATTTTATCTCAGCTTTTACACCCTTTTTTCACGTTTGTCTTCAGAAAATCCTTTAAAGTAATTTTAGCTTTTTTTTCAGGTTTTAAACGATTTTACACCGCACTAAAAGATAAAAAAGAAAACAGTTTTTGCTTTTTACCCGAAGTCAAAAGAACAGGTCTCCTTTCCAACCTTGAAATTCAGGGCACCATGCACCACTCGTGAATCACTGGTGGATGGTACCCCAACGTATCGCATAATTTGTTTTATATCTCTCGGAGAACGGAAAACATCTCTTTCACCCTTGTGCGCTTCGAAGGAAAGAACTTTTAAAGGTTTTTATTTCTTTCTCGACAAATTCCTCCCACACGAGAAAGAAATGATTTCAGAGGCTTTCCAGAAGGCAAACGTGTAGAAGCTGAAAGAGAATGTCCTTGAAATTTACAAACCCATACATTTTCAGTGGGACGCTTAAGCTTGTTGCCTCCACTTGCTGTTTATGTGTATACGCATGTATATTAGAATTTATATGTAAATGAAACTAATCGGAACGTATTTGAGCAATCAAAAGATGTACCTCGTGATATTCCATTTGTAAAGAAAAATACACATTTTAATCTGTATAACGTATATCATTCTAGATTTTGAAATAAAATGGGTATAGGAAGTGTCCTGTGTTAATCTTTTGGAGAAAGTTATGGTTTCAAACTAAGAAGGAATTCAAATTACAGGTTGTGTTGCGGAGAGATGGGGCACACCTTTGTGTCTTGCAACCTGTCGTCGATGCTACAATGGTGGTGTATGTGACGAAAAGTCTGGCATGTGTGTTTGTGCTCCAGGATTCAGTGGAGACAATTGTGAGCAAGGTATACGGAAAGTATAAGAACACTTTGATCTAGACTCTTAACATCATCCAACGGCGTGTCTATGTTTCGAATATGTTTAAAACAGATTTGGCCATGCCTATCTTTCATGTACACCAGGCCAGATGTATCTGCCGTTATTAGGATATTTCGCCCTGAATTCTTTAGCCTATTTGAGATTTTGTGGGGTCTGCACCATTGACCAAAGCTGTGTATTAGTCCAGACTTTCCAAAAGTTCCTTAGGCCCAAATCAACTCATGGTTCGATGGCCACAAGTTTACTTATCCAAATAGCGCCTAAGGGGTTCAACGTTTCTTTTACTCACTGCATATCATTTGGATTTAATTTAATATTTTAATTTCAGACAACAGAGCCTTGTCGGTTCGAATGACCCTTGTTGTTGATTCACACCATTGAAGTGTTGGATCGTTTATCCAAGACAGTCCAATAAAAACGAAACTACCGAACGTTCAGATCAAGGCACTATTGAACAATTAAACCTTAAGCTGTAAACAATTTTGTGATACATGCATTTTTAAAGAGGAAGATGGTTCTATGTATAAAGACCGTCTTTCAAAAGAAACAGCAGAATGTTGCAGCTTAAAAAGCACGCATTATTGTCAAGCAAAGTGAAACAGGAGACAATATTTAGGTATATTTATAAACATTGTTAACTGCGTCGATGAGCGTGCAAAAAACTTGCAGACTTTCTCGGGTGGGATTTGAATCCACAACCTCCTGCTTTGCACTTAGTCGTGTGCCCCATAAATGGGCGCAAAACTCTCTGTTCTTAGTAAAAACACATAAATTAACTCCAAAATCAACACAGGCTGTGCATAACGCGACCTTTGAACAACTTATTAAGCGTTGCATGCAGTTACATGCATACGTCCTCTTGCCAGGAACATTCTTCTGGTGTCGAAGCAAGGAGTGCAGTACTTTTGCAAAACAGGTTAAAACAGTGAAATGGCAAATATCCTTGAAATAAAACTATAACTGTCATACCAAGATGCCTTGCACTGTAGCGATGTTGGATATTTTATCACGGAAATCGATTCTGTGTTCCTCTAGTGTACCAAAAAGTGAATACGTCACACGTACACTTACGTTTGCAAAAAGCGTTTAATAGGGGGAGTGCCCGTGCATGAACCAACACGAGCGCGTACTCTATTAGTACGGCATATACTGGTTCTAAATGACGTCACGCTTCCGTACTCTATAACGCTACTCACCTGATTTGACAATGCCGTCGATCTTTTTTTGTTATTTTTTGAGTGTAGACTTTCATTTAAGCTCCTCACTCATTCAGAGTCGTTTAGGAAGTTACTCCGTTCTCTTAGGCCTAAGCTGGGTGATTGCCTTCAGCGTTCTAGATGACTTTGGGGACCCGATTAATCAAACTTCTCACACCATTTTTGCTTTTATTATATCTGTTATTACCGCGACACTATGCTTTGTGGATCGTTCACATTTAGTTCATGGTCATCATGTTTTTGGCAAGACTGCTGATCAGTGATGTTCCAATAGCACTGATCCACACCACGATGCTTGCCGGGGGCGTTTGTTCTGTCTACCAGACCCTTATGGATGCTCCTGTGCTGCAGGTTACCAGGGATTAGACTGTATGCAAGGTACGGTAGGAAAAATCATGCTATAATGCGGCTTTAGAGTCGTTCGTTTGTGATTTTGACTGGTTTTGACCGATTTTCAATTTCTATCAAAAATCCAAGGGACTGAGGTAATATTCTGTTTCCTTTTTATTTTTACTAATTTATGAGTAAAAGTGTAATGATTTTCATACGGGGAAATCGGATACGGTCATTCTGGTAATGCACTGTTCGAAGTTTAACCAATTTTTGGTATTTACTGCAGCCGTTTGTCTTGTTTGCTTTTGCTTCTCAAACCCACTGCATACAAAATAATGTTTAAAGGGAAAACATTTTCATTTGCATGGACAATCATTTAAATATAAAGGGGTAAATTCTTTAAAGACCTCAGGTAGTCAAAGCATTTCGAATTCCATTTGATAACAATATGGACTGGACATGTTTGTGTTTAATATTTGAATCGTGTCTAATTATTTTTAAGCAGATTTACGTGTTATTTTTTAATCAGAGTGTCGCGAAGGGACGTTTGGTGCAAATTGCAAGCAGACTTGTCACTGTGCATCAGGAGGGACGTGCAGTAAAGATACAGGAGAATGCACCAATGGTAAGTCGAGGGATGAACATACTGAACAACTGGCAGAAAACAATAGATCCACTTTTGAGGGTATAGGGTTTGACGGGCGTAGAGTAAGCAGGACGGAAAAAAAATGTTCCGACACCCTTTATGTAGTACTGAACAAAGAAGACCAATCCAAATAATCCAACAAAACGTCTTCGGCGAACATAATCTGAAAAGTGAAACAGACGGAGTTTAAATTTATCATTTATGTTTTCAATTTTTGAATGAGTACATAAACACATCCACAGACGAAGTCTCAGAGGATGTCATACTCTACCTATTTACATTCTAATAGCCTTCAAATTCACTAAATTTAAGGCTTGTGGTAGGAAATAAATGACGTCGGTATGGATGATATGGACATACGGAAGTTTAAAGTGACCATCCGACTTTTCACGTTTCCAAAGTATATTTTCTTGGAAAGACAATGTACGGAGATGTCTCCGAGGTCCTTCCCTGATATTGCATCTAAGAAAGAAGTCTTTCCCCGACACAGTACCTCGATAACTCGTCTTTCCCGTGGTATCACTGTCATATCAAAAAAAACCTATTTCCCCTACAATTGTTTCTCTGAAAGACGTCTTACCATATCACTAATTTTTCTGAAAGACTTCTTGCCATGACTTCATGTCTTGTTCATGTAAATTGCTAAGGCAGCAATTTATTTATTATTTCATATTTTATTCCATTTCTTCACCAAGAGTATGCCCAAATAGTTAAAAACTGTTTTCCATTGGGGCTTACATATTAAAAACAATTAAGTAAAGGTACACTCACATCGCAAGGCTGTCACTTATTTGAAACAAACATTGAACACTGCTGCAAAATACAATAATTCAAACATAGATGTACGTCATAGAACAAACACATGAATATCGTACTAGTTTCAATATGCAGATCATGTGATCTTCAGCTGCTGTAACGTGTGCAGATGGCAGTGTGGATGTGTCTAAGTTAGTTTTTACATTCAATTGAGAACCTGGAACAATAGAGGACAATAAGGTCCCCGTTTCATCAAGCGTTTCCGATTGACAATTGTGTACAAAACCTATTTGAGGTCTTCCAAAAAGTTTAAGCATGAACAAGAGGGTACAATATAGAGGGTCCTCAACTGCAGGCAACTAAAAGCTTTACTGTGTGTGTGTGAGAGACATTTCATCCTGGAAAGACGTCTCTTTGTGATGTTTGAGCTAAGAAAGGCGAATTAATGTAATATTTTACCAGGGAAAACACCTATTCGTGATATTCTTTCCTAAACAAACTTCCTTCCGTAATCTAGCATTTTTCATAATTATCGTATTTTGCAATATTATGGCGGTGTGTTGTGAGGATCAAATCTGAAACCGGTTGGGGTCTCGACTCTAGCCTAAACTCGGGTTCCCCCTCGGTCCAGAGATCACTCAAAGCGACCTAAAGGCTAAAGAAGCAGATTTGTTTTGTGGAAATATACCGCCGATTATGATGACTGTAATACTCTCTGCTAATTAGACAACACACAACTAGGACACCTGACAATTAGATTGCCGGTAACCTCAATAACAATGTGATTTATTCAAACATTCAACTCATGATTAATTGATTAAAGGGATTAAGAATAGTTCGTATAGGGTAAGATTTATTACAACCTCTATTATTTTGCGCGGTCTTGAAGAGAGAGTCTATCAGCAATACACATCTAATATCGCACGGCGTCGCGCCAGTCAGCAGCGCACTGACTACTGTCGCCTCGTGCAACTCCTATCAGCAATGCACAAACAACATCGTATCACATGAACGCTTTCAGCAATGCACGTCCAACGTTACCAACACGAGACCAATTACCAACGCTGGACCCAAGTAGCACTGCATATCTCAATGTCTTACTGCCTTAACAACATTGCATTGCATAGCCCAGTGTCACTATACGGCCCGCATGCACTAAGCACAACGGAACCGTGAGCCCAGCCCAAGTCTACCCAGTCTGCCCGTGCCCAGCTATATGCTGGGCACAACGTCCTATAGCAGCACACGCCACACCGAGAGCACCAAGAACTCACGTCTATATAGAGCTTCGCTGAACTAGCAGAAAACCTAAAGAGCAAGTTCCACCCACTTACGCGCTCGCCTTGATCACGCTCAAACCAAAGAGCTTACTACCTACACAGAGCGCTACGCTCCGCCCTTCCAGACGTCACAGGACCTGAACACACTACGCTATAGTCCATATTATTATGCACAACAAAAGTAAAGAAACGTTTTACACTTTCCCTTACAATATTATACCAGCTTTTGGGAAGTTTGTTCAAAATATCAGGGTGTCTCAACTTTCGGTGATAACATCTCTCGGAAATATGGAAATGCAGATGGTCACTTTAAGCTTCCATATGGACACATCTTGCTAATGCCAGTATTTATACTCCGGGAGTAAGGATTAGATTACTGTTTAAACTATCGGATATTGTCATGAATTCAGTGTGTTTCCTGCTTTAAAACTTCTGTCCGCTTGGAAATGTGATTTAATTGCACCAAACACGTCTCAAATTAGGTTTCTGTATCTTGACACTCATCTCAACTTAGCTCTGTCTTTACTGGCTTACTTCGTAAAGATTCCCAGGTTTACTCTCGTTGCATAAACATTTTTTTTTACATTTTACTTTTCTGAAGGTTGTGAGCCTCCACATTTTGGAACTAATTGCCAGTGCTCAAGTAAGATATCTTAAGATAAGATATCTTAAGTGAATCTGTTTACCATTTTGACAAGTTTATGAAGCTTCTTGTAAAAACGTTTTGATTTTTATGATGCCTCTTTACTAGATCTGTGACATTTGGAGATTGTTCAAATATTAGTCTTATCAAAACCCGATTTAGAGACCAAAAATATAGTTTAAATTAATTATCTTTTGAAGTTTGTGTTCAAAGACGATTCTCATTATATTTCCCTCTTTTTTGTTTCATTTGCAGCTGAAACTGGCGTTCTTGGTCTTGACGTGACATCAGGTGACCCACATCAGTTGTTCATCACTTTTCAACCAGATGCCTGTGCCTCAGATTACGAACTGAGACATCAGTGTGAAGACATTGCATCCGTGCATCGCGTACCACAAACCTTCAATTATTTCTTAACTGGTATCGAGTCTCCATCAAACTACATTGTTCAAGTCCGACCGATATATATTGGAGGTGTGAGAGGACCTGAGGTTTCCCATCTGCAACCAAGCAGTAGGTGTACTAGGATGTCAGAAGTGAGGATGAAAGATCTGCCATTAAAGACATGCCAACTTTGTCGATATGAGTGAAAACATAGGGTGTAGCAAAGCTTGTTGCCTTCCCAGTGAACGGTTAAGCCGTTTTTCACCATATTCAGAACCCAAATCATTTTGCTCTTATGGTACACGGGCAACTCCAATATGCAGTCCATATAAAAGCTACCCCATTTACCAAGACACTGTTTCCCTTGTTCCCAGACCTGATCGCGTGAGTACCACACGGATTATCTTGGTTCGCCTGTATGAGTCCGGTATGAATCTTGGGTGAAATATCATTGGGGCTCATATATGGTTGTCGTCCATTGGACCCATATTTTGAGTACAGCATGCAGCTAATGTCTGCTACCGTTCATGTGCACTGAAGCATTATATAACATTTTAGTGTCATCACTTAAGAAACTCATGAAGTACACTCTATAAACGACTCTGGAGTAGCTATGCTTCCCTTCTGCTTTTATATTTTTTTTTCCTTTATGAGTGCTATTGAAACCATTTTTGCCCTTAGAAATTCCGAAAAATTCTTCACAATCCACTGTCATTTTGGGGGGGCACCTCAAAGTGGAGGATGATTCAAGAGCCCATTCAAAAAAGTGTGGGGATATTTATTTCACAAAACACTTTTGCAAATTTAAGTTGATGAGATCTGGTATACTGAGTTTTCTTTTCTCATTATAGTTGGATCGGTCAAGGCCAGTTCATACTTCGTGCGAAAGCGAAAATGAAAACATTTCAACTCAACCGAAATTTCGCCTAAGAGTTGTCATGACGTCAAATTCGCTTCGCTTTTGCTTTCGCCTGAAGTATGATCCAGTCTTAAGGAGGACTGTATCACCAAGTTGTTTCCTTCTCTAGTTTCTGCGTTGGATGCACACAGAAACATACGACTCGAGCAGTGGTGTGTGTTTGTGTGTGGGGGGGTCCCCTTTCCCCTAGATACGCCACTGTGGTGTAGAGAACGTACACAGATTGATTTAATAGATTATGGGTTCACTTAAATGTGTTTATCAGTGTTTCAACTTTGCTTCAGTAGCTTCTTAGTTTCGCTTTTAAAATCTCCACACGGTTGCACTGCAAGTTTGAAGATTTGCAACATTGTGTCAGATTTTAACACAGTAATTTGTGTCAACGATTTTGCCATTGCTCAAGACGCTGTGTAGAGGAATACAAGGAAATCACAGAGCAGTAACAACTTAGTGAAATTGAAACATGTCCCTTATTTTTCTTTGTTCTTAGTACCGAAAGAGCCTCCAACTCGAGTGAATTTAACTTTAGCAACACCGTACAGCCTGAGTTTCTCCTGGAGTAAACCACCTTGTGGAAGCCGAGGTGGCATCATCACAGGCTACACATATAAACTGACTGAGATAAGCCCGGAATCCCAAGTAGTCATTCAATCAGTGACATCAGAGGAATCGGTGACAATCGAAGGTTTAACGCCGCTGACTGAATACAGTTTTCAGGTTGCTGCCAATACCATTGCGGGAGCTGGACCGTTCAGTCGGGTTGCAATGGAGGCAACTGTTGATGGTTTGTAGGAGTCCAATACTGGCGATTAACAACTCAGTGCGTCTCCAAGAGATTCCCACAGAGAGGCCCTTTGTAGTGCTTCGTGCACAAACAATAAATTTCTATTAGCCTGCTACGCTATACGCAATCGACCTTATTCAGGGGGAGACAATTTTCTCTGTATATAATATTCACCGTATCTGGGAAATGACAGTGGTACCTGACTGTATGGGGATACCCATGCCTAACTTTTATTTTCTCATGTGGCTCTAAAGATATAGATATAAACTTAACCACAATTTGAAATCATTCATTGAAATAAATGGCATCAATCTGTAACGAATGTTTCTCTCAGTGCTTTCATTTTCATTTCAAAGCCACCCCCTTAGTTAACCTCGCTGTCAATTCCATAAGGCTGACTTTTGAATATTTCATATTGTTTCCAATGTTTGTTCACGGCTCAAGACTTGAGATCGACTTGAGAGTGGCGATGGCAGCTTTTCGTCAGATAATTATGGCTCAATCAGTAAATCATTTCCTGGTGCGGTTTACTAAAGTCCACTTAGATGGAAGTAGTTTTAAGTCGGTCGTAACTTGGTCAACTTAAACTTTAAAAAGAAAAGCCCCCCCTGAAAACCTCTTATTGGCACACTGCATGTTTTAGTCGCCTGTCTCAGGCTGAGGACAGAGAAAAAGAAGAAAATATTTCTTTTTTCGTTCTAACAATCCGTAAAGAAATGGCAATACTCAACATGCAAGAAATTGTACTGTTCCTAAAAAGCTGGCATTTTCAATTCCTAAAAAAACCGGGGAAAAGTCGAAGGGTGGGGGAAACTGCCTCCCTCCCCGTTTTATGCGCCACTGTATTTATGTTATCTTTAAAAATGACTTCTCCAAATTATATTTTGAGATATCTGCAACAGGATGTTTGATGCAACTTAACTTTTTGATCTTCCCAGAGAAGGGAATAAAAGCCTGTTGATTTATTGTATTTTACCTTAAGATGAAGATCACGAGTACCATTTGGGCATTAACGACAGCCACTTTTTAAAAGTCACATAATTTGGTTTCTAATTCCAGCCGGCTTATCGTTGGCGGTCGTCGTCGGAGTACCAGCTACCATTGTGATCCTGATTCTGCTAATAATAGTTACCCTGGCGGTCTATAAAAGGTAAGCCTTATCCATTCAACCGAATATTGCTCACCACCAGTCACAATTTGAAAGAACAAAATAGCGTGTTGATTGCTGTTTCAGCCTTAACTTTATGCACTTCAGACCAGAGTGAAAAATTGTAACCAATAAATTACTATTTGAACCAATAATTTCAGAAGGAGACGTCGACAAAACAGGTCTCCTTGGAATTGATGGCGATACTTCAAGCCATCAAGCCAACAACACTGCAGAGCCAGGTACTTAATTTTCAAAGGTTACCTTTGCCATGCTAAATATCGTTCTTAATCTCCTCTGATTGACCAGAAGTCATTTGATATTTTTGTGTAAAGATAAACAAAGAAATTGACTGGAGCGGGATTTGAACCTGCGACCTCCGGAATACCTTACCAGTGCTCGAACCAACTGAGCTTTCCCGCCCTATGTTGGTGGCTCTTCCCAATTGTTAATATCTCTGTGGGGGGGGGGCGCTAGCCAGAAGCCATTAAATCTGAAACACCATGTGACCATGGATCACACCCAAATTCCCCACGATACAACCTGGAAAATGGTTAACAGAGATCACTCAAAGAGATACGGCTTTTTGAACATAGATTATGAAACAAATAAGGAAACTGACTAGGTGGTCATGAATGATTATAAAGATGAACAAAGAGATTAACTGGAGCGGGACTTGAACCTGCGACCTCTTGAACACCGTACTCTACCAACTGAGCTATCCCGCCCTATTTTGGTGGCTCTTCCCAACTGTCAAAATCTCTGTTCGGGGGGCGCCAGCCAGAAGCCATTATATCTTTTTTTAACGACACCTTCTATTTAGATGTTCCCCACCTTGCTCCAAAGCCAAGCCTGAACCATGTCCAAAATACAAGCCTTTGCGATGGTGTCGTGAGCATGTCTCTAAAACAACAAAATCCACGGGACCGTACGAGAAAGCTCCAAAGTGAACTTGAAAAGAACTGCCCACCATACAAACGATGCAGGACGTGTCAAGTCCTAATGACATTGTAAAATGCACGTTGGAACCTGTTGCTTACTTGTACGACATTGCAGAATGCACGTTGGAGCCTGCCGTGTACGAGAACGCCATTGTAGAATGCACGTTGGAGCCTGCCGTGTACGACAGCGCATCCGTCGATTACGTCAACACAGCGGGTTTCACCGCAGCATTGCCTCATCAGAAAGAGAAACTGCAACCAGAATCTGCCACGCACGTGCATGCATTCACGAACAAAAGTGAAGTGGAGATGTCAGCGCAGTCCTGCTTGCGCGTAGGCAGTCCGAAGCCAAAACCGAGACGGCTACATCCACAACCACCTGCCGAGAGAGATACAAATGAGCAGCTCATACTAAAGCTTCTCAGTCAACTTTCATCTGTTGCTGTTGATGAACTTGCAGAATACATCTGCAAGAAGGAGCAGGCTGGTCAAAATGGCTTCCCTGCAGACTTTAAAGTAAGTGCAATTCACTTCCTCTCCCAAATAATCCTGATTTGGTCTCATGTTTATATTGAGTTAAATGATCGACTAGTAGCCAAGGAAGAACCGACAGTTGACCCCTGACAGCTTGCTTCGGGAACCCTTAGGTAGGAAAAATAAAGTGTAAAGATTTAAGACTTGCTAGCATTTTTCTGTTCAGTTACTCGGAAAAAAAGGGCTTTAAAAAGAGAAATATCCTGCCAAAAATTGACTCATCAATTCCGAATATATATATATACATGAACAGTCCAATACGGTGGTCTCGTACGCAGGCGAACTTTTACGGGTTGAAATTTAATGGCAAACTGTCGGTAAAAGCCAAATCAAACAGATTAAATTTTTTTAAGGATTTTGTTAATTTATAAGGTAATAAATTTAAAGCAATAATGCCATACTAGTCGGGCTAATTAACTGACAACTTTGGCCAGGGTGTGCCTCGTCTCTTTTGCCGATTCAAAAGGGCGCCCTCTGGGGCTCAATTTTGGGAAATTATTCTTCTGATAAAATGAGGACCCCTACACTAACAACTGCGTGATGTCAACTCAACTAAATCTGGAATTCCTCGACTGCAAGTAGGCAGATCTTTGCAACGTTGTACAACCTCGTTTTCACGTAAGCACAGGGAATGAAAACAAACGTGGTACGATATCGCCGGACGTGAAAGGTTGATAATGAAGGTTGTTTTTTTTACGCAACTGCAGGTGACTTTTCTCAAATATAACTTTCCATGGGTTGTTTCAGTTAGGAATTATTCTTCAAAAATTTAACGAACGTGATAAAATGAATGGCCCAATGTAAAATCTCCATAGGAGGACTGCGCGAGGGTCCCGGAAGCTCGCTGCGTACTTTTTACTTTCAGGCTCTATTGTTGACTCAGTCCTCGTGACTCATGGAAATTAATGTGATTCATTTGGACGCTTAGCTTGACTTCAAAATAATGTGCATATAATTTTAACGCGAGAGTCCTTTTTGAGACAGTGATCACTGACTTTACCAGTAGGGAAACCCCAGATATATTTTCCTTAAGTATCACGCTCCCAGAAACAATGCACAGTTCGATAACCACTATTATCTACATCGTAAACAAGGTGGGATATAACCTGGGTCAGCAATAATCAGTGAATAATTCGTAAATGTAAATCGTGTTTGTGATATCACTGAGGTATAATTACTCCGCTTGTAAGCTGATTCCACTTCCTGACTCTCCCAGATGGCCGGCCATGCCCAGCAACCGTTGCCAAGAAACCGCAAAATAAGACAAAGAACTTTTCTGCGGAAATCATTGCCTGTAAGTAATGGTTTACCTCTGAAAATACCCGTAGGGTATTTTTTGCTTTTCCTGCCATAATAAAAGGTGGAAATATCCTTAGGCATAATGAATGTTATGTATGGGGGACTTTCTTTGTCAGTTAAGCACACTTTTTGACCTTAGATCTTCAGATTTTGATAAAAAAAATGCTGTGCTCTTAGAGATCAATGATTAACAAATACTTGTCATTTTTAGCGGAATCGACCATTTCAGTTAGTCAGGGCAGAGATAAACAAAAATGGAAAGTTTTCCTTAAAAATACATCCTTTTAGTAAAAAATACACATAGCCCTCTCATTATTATGCAAATGTGGTATCAAAATAATCAGAAGAATATGCTCTTTTCACTGATGGTGTGGAATTTTTGACCTTTGACATGGGTAAGTTAAGTTTGACCTTTTTTCAAGAATAAAGTATCATTTTGGATTTTTTCTTTTTAACTACGTGTTTCTGAAAGCTGTTCCTGCTCTAAAGAATCAGCTAAAATCTTTATGGGGTGTTTAAGATCCAAAATGTTGTGACAATTTTTCTGTAGTTGGTCAGCATAGAATATGTTAAGTTTTATGTAATCCCTAGAGAGGAATTTGTACCAAGCATGTTATGCTCTATAATGAAAATTACCTTGTGATGTATGTACAGTTATATTCAATTTCAGGTTCAGGAATTTTTGATTAAGTGGTTTTCAGAGCAAGAGCAACATATCTCACACGAAATCATTTCATTCGAGGAGCCCATTTTAGTTTTGATTATGAAGTTTGCCCTTGTGAAGGAGTCTGAATATATGAGGACTATGGAGATGTCACGTGTTGACTGGGCGAAACGTGAATGATTTACAAAGCTAAATTTCCACAAGATCTGCAAAAAGAACATGTTTTGATTATTTTGATACCACATTTGCATATATTTAATAAAAAATGAGAGGGTTATGTATCATTTTTTCCCAAAAAGGTGGATTTTTAAGTGGAAACTGTCAATTTTTGTTGATCTCTTTCCTGACTACAGGGAAAGGTGGATTCCTCTAAAAATTGGCCAATATTTATTATTCATTGATGTCTTCAAGCACAGCAATTTATATCAAAATCTGAAGACCTAAGGTCAAAATGTGTGTTGGTCTGACACGGAATGACCCATGATTCACAGAAAACAGTCGAACGTAAAGCTTGCATCAATCCCAAGTAAATGATTTAATGTAAATTACACTATGCAAACACTTAGCAATTGCATTACAGCACTAATGCATTTTCCCCAGCGGTTAATATAATCACGTTAATATAACCGGCAAAAGGCATACGGTGAACGCACGGCATAGAAACCAAAAGACGGGACACAAGGTGGTGGAAATATGGACAAGAAAGCCAAGGAAACAATTTAAAGCCACGTTTAATTAAACAGTGACTTAAAGCAAAGGATATCTTGGTTTTTTGCCAGTTAAACATGTCATGCAAAACACTGAGAGTTTTGAAAAAACAAAAGCATGATATTGCAAATATTGACAAGAGCACAGCAAAGCAAAGTTATACAGACACACAAAAAATAGTTTTAAAGCATGTAAATAGTCCCGAAGAGGCAAGTTACCTTTAAATTAAGGAGCCAAAAGGACAGGGAAAGGTCCTGCCCCAGCCAGTGCCTCTACGCATGTACCAGAACAACCAGCTGAGACACAGGGATCCAGCTTTGTCATGTGGCCACGACACTCCAGTTCCATGGTCCCATACCTGTTTCAGCCTCAGGTATGGCCCGGCAATGAGGAAAAACAGACGGATAGAAGACGACATGGACATGCTGGCCCAACGCTAATTGATTGAGGAAGCACATACCTAATGTATGTATGCACTTGGGAGACATAGATGTGTACATGGCAAATTTCTTCTGGTTATTTGGTAATCCAGTTAGGTATATTTATACACATGTATATGCTCAAATATCACTGTAAGTAGGAGACACGGTTGGCACGTCAAAATGATTTTGGTAAACATGTTTCTTTAGTTTGAGACTTTGGAAAGTTAAATTTTAATTCATGTTCTCAATTTGAACTTCCAAGGAATAATGATATCACGTATAAATATGTAAATAATTAATGAGGGTGGCAAATTGCTTCACCAAGGTTTACTTCGGGTTCGACATGCATATTGGGGTAAAAGCAAAACTATATTGTACCTGGTAAATGTAATATGAAGTGATGGTAGCTTAATTAAACTAAAAAGATTGGGGTTTTTAAAAGAAAAAAAAAACGATTGGGTATCACCTTGTCCACAGATTCGGTATCTTAACCGGCCGAGAACTATTCACATGACATCTGCTATTCTGCTATCTTGCTGTGCGTGGCCAAATTAATTATACCGTGGTTTATGTTTCTTGGTTATACTCGTAGTACCAAAGAAACATACTCACGAACACCGGCGCTCTGACGTGGATACTGGTGAGCGTCAAAGAACGTGGTGCAAACATTTTGTGCGGTGTAGTTTAGAAAAGGGCATGTAGATAATATTTCAAATATATTTATTTCTTCGTAATATTTTAAATCCATATAGACGTTAATTGTATGGCGTTTTGGGGGCAGTCGGATGACCAGATGAATAAGCAGTAACGGTACTTGAACTTACCGGTTTAAACAAACGGTAACCTGTGTAAAGCATATTTTGGTAATAGCTTAATCTTCATCAATGATATGGTTCGAAGTAGAAATTACCATAATGCTTAATTGTCTCTGTGACTTCATATAGATGACCATTCACGTGTCGTGTTGGAAGCACTGAAGAATGATCCTCACTCTGACTATATAAACGCCTGCTACATTGATGTAAGTTACAGCTGACCACCTATACTGAGATCTCAGAGTCTTTCCTTCCAAAAGTGACAAAAAGAGTCGAAAGTCACACTTTGTTTCTTTCATCTGGACTTTGGATAACATTTCCTGGTTCATTAATTTAGTGCCATTTTTTCTTGTCACTTGGCCAATGTTAGGATTTTATGTAGAACATTCTGATAGTTATACGACATTTAGTTACAAACTATACATCTAAGCCGATTGTACTGATGTATCACTTTTTTCCAGGGTATTTTAGAGAAAGACAAGTATATTGCCACCCAAGGTAACTACTTAAATCATTCATAATAATGTTTTAGCGATAATGAGAGTTCTGATACTACAGACGAGTTAAAAACAATTCCAAGACTGGTATATTTACAAGAAAACTGTCCATATTTTTTTTTTCTCTAAAAGGACCCACCAGTTCGACCGTAGGCGATTTCTGGCGCATGGTATGGCAACTGAAAGTGGATAAGATCATTATGCTCACCAATCTGACGGAGGGTGGCGAGGTAGGCGTATGCCTGGTCCCAGTAAAACAGTCGGATTTACTAGTTCCACACTACAACAATTTTCAGGCCCTAGGATATATGAGATTCACACATAGTTGCAATGCTGAGAGGTACCAATTTAAGCATGATTAATGTTTTAGTTCACTGGGCTCGCAACTGAAATGAAGGATATCTTTACCTCAAAATTAAAGAAAAAATCCAATTAAATTAGGGATATGCTGGAAGAATGAGGTGTTCGGTGAAAAGCTAGTGTATTTTGTTCTAAATCTAGGTCAAATGTCATCAATACTGGCCAGATACCGGATTCGCCACTTATCTCAACATTGCCGTAAACGTCATCAAAGAAGATGTGTTCCCAGACTACAAAGTGCGTGATTTCCAAATAGCTCAGGTAAAAATGTGTTGTGATGCACTGTTCCTTCAACAAACGAAGGGACCTTTCAACGGAAATTCAGTCGCAATAGAGATGTTCTCCAGGTTTTGTGCGTACTCGCTATCTAAATATGGTAATGTGTATTATTGTATAACGGTTTGTACTTAAATACTGGAAACGTACAACATTTTCTATGTTTGGGACTTTCTGTCATGTAGGTTTTCAGTGAAGATAAAAATCGCGTAGTGAAGCAGTTTCACTTCACTGCCTGGCCAGATCTGCAACCACCAGAGGACCCATCTAATCTGCTCCACTTTGTGCGTAAAGTGAACGCTAAGAGAAACAACGGAGGAACTATTGTGCATTGCAGGTGGAAATTGCATGCTTTATAATATTTGCCGTAATGAATCCTTAAATGCTGCACTCTTTTATACTTCTTCAATACTGAATACTACATGCTCTGTCTCTTTTTCTAGCCGAACAGTGTGTTTTTGGGACAGGTAGAATGTTCTTGTGTAACAGAACAGTTAAGTATCAATATCTCATGGGAGGGGGTTACATTTGAATCCAGGGAGCGTTTCACGTACTCGTGTATATATATATTTATACTTTGGGACAGTAAGTGTGGAGCTCCAAGAGTGGAAGTTAAAAAGTGGACATTTTGCTTTTTTACTGTTCAAAAAGCAAAAACGCAGATCGGACGTTTTTACACAATGGATTTTTTTCACTTTTCTGCTTTCTCACAACCAGAAGAGGAGATTAAACGGTTTGTCAAGATGCATTTTTCTTTTTCATTTTCTTGCCACCTGAGAAATGAAATTTACATTCAAGTCTACAGTTGCTGTTCAAAAACAGACTTGTACGTTTTTTACTTCCCGCAGAAGTCGGTTGGACTTATTCACAAGTATTACGGCAGTTCAAAGGTGAACATCTGGTTTTTCTCTCTCAAGATAGGAGAAAATCACATTGAATGTTGTTTCAATAGTGTGCAATCTACTTTTCTGATTTTCTGCTGGCACAGAAAAACCGATTGAACGATAAGCTCCGAAACGCATATTCTAATTAGCAGCTTTTCCACTACAAGCAATTTATATTAAAAAAAATACACTGGCGGTTCATAAATGGACGTTTTGCCTTCTGCCTTGCAATACCGACAATTTATTTGAGTATTTTCAACGAATCTGTTTTTAATACTTCTCGATACGGCGGAACAGCTCTTTTGTAGTGGTCTAAAACTGGTCATCCGTTTTCCTGGTTCTCCACCACACCCAAAGGTCAGTGTGTCAAAATATGTTAAACGTCGAGCCTATCGGCAGTGGCGCTGATGTTTTTGACAGAGAGAAACAGGTGGGATGAACGATCGGTATCCACAGACAAACGCACGGCTGCGGGAACCGCAGGGGGTGAATGGTGGTCAATAGAGAAGCAAAGTAAAAACCATAATGTCCACTTTTGAACCGTCAGTGGTAATATAAGATAATTTTTTTAAGTCGTTTTAGAAAAACCTAGAAAACAAGGAAATGCTCATCATGTTATAATTTAATCTGTTTTTCCGGTTGCAAAAAATGCAAAAAGCTTTTTACAAAAACGTTCAGTACGATTTTGTCAGTAGAAAAACAAGTGTCCACTTTTGGACCATATAAGATATAACCATTCAGTTTTTGTACGAAGCAGAAAAGTAGATGTCCCTTTTTGAACCGCCACTGTAGACTTGAAAGTAAATTCCATTCTGCTGGTGGTAAGAAAATGAAAAAGTAGAAAACTGCATCTTGACAAACTGTTAAATCTCCTTTTCTGGTTGTGAGAAAGCGGAAAAGTGAAAAAAATCGCTTTGTAAACACGTCCTATCTGCTTTTTTTTGTTTTTGTTTTTTGCTTTTTGAACAGTAGAAAAGCCAATATCCACTCTTCAACCTCCATATCCAAGGGACATGGTGAAAAAGTTTCTCCCGTCAACTCTCTCTCGCAGGAAGGAGTTATATATTCCATGTATGACTTATATCTCCTATATTCAACCTATGCATTTCAATTTCTGGGTAGTATTATGTGCAAGTTAAAACTGGTACGAATGAGACAGTTAAGGTTGTACGTACGAATGTTAGTTCGTACGTAAGTCGTGCGTGCAGTTAACACGGGTAGATCACAGTTGCCAGATGTAAGTAGTACGTAAGTCATGCATGAATCGCAAGTCGCACGCGAGATTATACGTATTAGTACAATGGAATACAGGAGAAGAGAAAAAATTCCTAACACATGCCCCAATACAAAGCTTCTTAAAATATAGCCATTCTTTTCCCCCAACATTTCCAATTGCCCTTCCTGCATTTGCTTTAAGTATCATTTGGGAATTTTATATAAATCAGGGCTTAAGTTGTATTTTGTATTTACTGCATTGATGCCAATTAGAAAATACATAAATCTGAATAAAGAGGACTCTTTGATTCAAGTAAACGTAGTGAACATACAGGTTTACAGTTGCAATTGGCCTTTGGCCATTCTTCTTAGTAACGGAGTCGGCCGTACAGGGACATACATTGCCCTGGACTCCATGCTAGATCAGATGCAGAAGGAGCGACGCGTTGATGTGCTTGGCTTCATTTATCGCATGAGACAAAAAAGAACCAAGATGGTACAAACTCCGGTAAGGATAAATGCATTTAAGATGGTTTCCTTTGAATTTTACATCCCGCTGGGAGTGTAGCCTGTAGACTTTAAAAGAATCTGAATCTCGCTTACGTTTTCTGAATGGTGTGACAGCATAAACAAACGAGCCTTGTCCCATTGTAATGGAACAAACACTAGTAAAAACTGTAAGCAGAAAAGAGGATTCAGAGGAGTAGTTTTGATTTGGATTTTTTTTTCTGATTGGCAAAGAAGTAGAAAGCTCCTAAAAGAAACAAGTAGACCCCTTTCAGAGAAAATTCCAATCGCCCATAAAAATAGTAGTAATAATCAGAGCAGTCAATAGAATGAAACGCAGTACGTATCTCATGAAAATATCAACGAAATTTCGAAACCTTAAACATCTCACTTCGGGAATAGCCCTGTACAATACTTCAAGGAATTCCCATGATCACCAGGGTTTCCCACCAATGCTCTTTATCGCAGCCTCAGCGGCTGATGCATGATGATACACATGACACGTGGAAAAATCTACATTGAAATGCGCCTGTGTTACGCCCCAAACTTTTCTGACAAAGGACAAAAGGCTGTTTTCATAATTTCGTTGATCACCTAAATTCGACTAATCCGTTATTCAAGCAACAAAGGAAAACTTCTTCTGGATAATGGCAGTGTAAGCCTTAGTTAATATGGAAAAAAAATGCGAAGTCTGCGATACAAGCCGTTTAGCTTCAGATCGTTTTGAATAATAAACCTCATGTCATCTTCCAGTGAATAACAACTACTACATGATGACTCGCATGCAACCCGTTCTTGTGCGGGAAGCACACTTAAGGCCAATCACAGAGACATGTAATGTCAATTTATTCGTCAGATCAAGACATATATATAGAAATAAAAGGCTGAGCTTAAATGGTCAGGTACGGTCCCCTACATAAATATAATTCTTTCAAGTTTTTGCTTCTTGCATAAGTCTTCGTGGTTATTTGTGTTTAGGCGCAATATCGATTCATCTTTGACGCTTTGTTGGCGGCCTCCAATGCTGATGACGCACTGAACTAGAACACATCGAGGGACTTCAGAAAAAGGAAGAAATAACCTGTGTATACTGGTCAGGAAGTAATTTGAGGGGTGGGCCCTGCTGGTAAGATGATACCTAAGCATACTATAGCATTTGTTGTTGAGGGACTCGGTCTGTTTCCTCTGAACGTATAAGTGAAAAGGGGTTGTGTTTGGCCAGCTGCAAAGCAAATACGGGCCTATGAAATACCTATTTCCGTCAGTCTGTCAATCATACTAATAAATAAATTGAACTCGGAATTATTAATACATAATGCTATTGTTGTGTTGTAAAAATACATATACCAGTCAAAACTTTAGCCTGCTCTATTTAATACCCACTTGCAGGTCTGTGTCAATATATGTGCAGGGGACGGGAGACAGAATAGGATGATAGGCGGGGTGCGACGGAGATATATAGGTGGGATGATGTGCGGAGGCGTATTAGGAGATAGATGGGATGGGGTGGTGTGGGGGATGGATGGGACGATGGGTGGAGGAGGGCAAGGGGATGGACAGGACCCTAGGAAGGAGGAGAAATAGAGGGGTAGTTGATAGATTAGGATGATGGGTGCTAGGCAGAGGAAGGGTGGATGGGAAGGGGGGAGTAGGACTAGGAGATGGATGGGACCCTGGGAAGGAGGAGGAGTAGTAGTTGATAGATTAAGGTAATAGGTGGAGGCAGAGGGGGTGACGGGTGGGATGAAGGGGGAGGATGACTAGAAGATAGATTGGAGCCCGGGAAGGAGGAGAAGTAGTTGATAGATTAGGATGATGGGTGGAGGCAGAGAAGGAGATGGATAGGGTGAAGGGGGGAGGAGGACTAGGAGATGAATTGGACCCCGGGAAGAAGGAGGAGTAGTTGATAGATTAAGATGATGGGTTCTGGGCAGAGGAGGAGATGGATGGGATGAAGGGGGAGGAGGCCAGAAAGATGGATGGGATTATGGGAGGGTGTAGTGGAGGAGATGGATTGGGTGGATGGATTGAAGGATTAGGAGATGGATTGGGTGAGTTTCGGATTTAGAGTGGGAGATGGATTAAGTTGATGGATTATGGTGGGTCAGGAGATGGATGGAACAACAGGTGTGAGGAGTAGTAGGGGATAGATTGGGGGGATGGTTGGAAGACTAGGTTATAGATTGGGATAATGAGTTTCGTGTTGGAACCTTTAGAATGCCATTTAATTTAAAGCCATAACTTCTACGCAGCTTCCACGCGGTTAGTATGATTTTTTTTGTTCAAGTCAGTAGTGTCATTTGTAATTACCGTAGACGTCTCTTAATGTGAGGAAAGTTTGAAGTAAACGCATATCAAGTAGCGAGTCTTGCCGGCTTAGCTGGTTATTAGTTTTACTTATGTTTTCTCTGGACTCAAAATACGGCTTTAAAACACATTTTTTAGTTTGTTGGAGACCTTCTTTTATACGCTTGTATTAAATTGGCATCTGTTTTGTTGGCACACAACCCTTTACGTAATTCAGTGATTCTACTCGGCAGTCTTTGTCAAAATGTTTTTACGTATATTCAGAAAGGACAGGTAACGCCTTGGAGTATTGGCTAATTTCCGACATAGATGATCATTTTCTGGAATCCATGTATCTGAAAAGACTTCATATTACCTAGAATAATTAGTATTGAGTAAAATTGCGTAAATTGTATGTTATCACTTTTGTATTCATTATTCACAAATGCAGTTAAATGATCTATTGTAATCATGGTTCTCTTAATGTGTATTTTGGCTTATGTTTTGAAATTATCCCACCTGGTTTTTCAAGTTTTAAGGGAATTTAAATATGAAAACTCTGAAAGGTAGAATGTTTATTTGATGCAATGAATTTTTATGAATGGCGTATTTTTAACAGTCCATGCGAACCCATATGAAATTACCAGCAATTAAGTTCTTGAAAGATGATGAGGGGTAACTTGAATTCTGTTCACGTACAATATTTACATTATATTTCAAGACCAACAAAATAGTCCTTAATATCTAGATATTAAGCGTTAATTTGTGTTTCACTCGACGTGTAATGACTTCTTGATACACGCGTGTGCCTAACTGGTTACAATTTACAAATAGGTGAACACTTGAGTGGCACTTGAACGGCCCGTTCCATGATTACATGTAACTGTTACCGTGCAGTGGGTGGGAATTAAACTGAAGTGATGTCACAATTACGAATTGGTCGCACGAGGACATGCATCGCCTCGTACTCCATGATATATAACATGGAACAGGAGGGACAGGTTGATGTACTCAGATTTTTCTATCGTACTCGACAAAAAACGAATCAACACACATATGGAGCACACCTCGATAAGTAGAAGGTCATTTCCTAAGAGATAAAATGTAACTTTATATCCTGCGATGGATGGGTTATTTCAGTCTTATACTGCTTGATCGATTGGATCTTGCAGTCCATGCAGTGAGTGTNAAAAAAGCTACAAATGTTGGTTTACAAGGTTGGACAATATTGCTGAAGTTGACGGTGTTTGCAAGGAAAACTGAATTACAATTTGACACCAACTTCTGTCGATTCTTGAAAGCTGTCGGCAGTTGATTGTATGACGGAAGTTGTACAAAATGACAACTTGTTGGGAAATGAAATTGCCGATGCTTGGAAGAAAGTGTAGTGCCCTCTTCTAGACCAATCTAGAATATGTTACCAAATCAAGTTTCTCAATCCAGGAGTCATTGATTCAAGTCTGAAAGCACAATTTATTTGTTAAAAGACAGTACTTTTTCAAAGTTGTAGGAAACTTTAAATTCTTGATTTTAATTAATGCAGCAATGTCGATGTATCTTCGTTGAAACAACCATTTTTCTGTAGGCATCGATATCGTGCAAGTACGGGGAGACTTGTCGGCTCATTATTTCAATACTGCTGTTGTAACTTGTACGGTGACGCCTATGCCAGGCCAAAAGTGAATACGATGGATTGTTGATGTGGTTTCCAACAAGTCAATATGTTATGCACTTTAATGATGTGTTATGTTCTACTTTCCCACTTTTTATATGACATGCTTAGAGTGAACGTAGATTTAGCATTGTTAATTGTTTAAATGACCAATAACATGATTAAATATCTGCGTGATCGTTAAGCATATTTTTGTCTTTGCTAATCCTCGTCTGCTAGTCTTTACAAAGAGCTTTAAACATTATAATCAATAATTAGATATGAAGAAATTCTACGAATATGCAACTTGCATAGACAAATGTTTGGGTTTTCAGATAATTAAGGAAACATTTTCATAGAGATCTCATTTAAAGAGTTTGGTGAAAAGTGTAAAATATTTTAATATAGATTGATTAAATTCAACTATAACGTTGAATATTTCGCAAACACGTTTTATTTTATCTCACAAGGAAGAAGAGTATTGGCTGTTTCATAATATGATGGAGGGGAAAAGGATAATTCGTTGGAAAGTTCTTTATAAGTGTTGACTCTAAATATATATTTCTTTTTACAAAAGCATTGCATTGCCTATTTTGTATTCTGAATCTTTGAGACATGTGGAATACTAAGTTCAAGGTATCTGTCTCGATTTATATACCACTGAGAATTGCCCATTGTTCTGTTTGTGTGTCATGCTTCGTTCGTTTTGCTTTTGCGTCAGAATATAAATTAGAACAAAGATAAACTATGTGATTGTTTTGCTGTAGTACGTACGGATTAATACTTTCTCGTACGGTTTTGTAAATGATGATCTGTTTTGTTTTGTTTTTCTTTCACCTCGAGGCCAGCTTGTAGTTTTTTATTGTTAGAATTAACTTCAGTTACAAAGTTAGGAGAAATCACCGAATTCTAAATTCAGTCTTAACTCCACATGGGGGTATTCCAAAAACAACACACCCTGGTTATGCCTGTTTGGTCAAAATAACTCCCTTGGTGCTCAGAATAAAGATGCAGAGACACACAACAATAACCAATAGGACTGAATGTTTCTTCAACCGTTGTAACTTCTAACTAGCAAAGAGGCATTTTGTAAACTATTTGTTAGCATATAAGTTTACAGAAACGGAAAAATTGCCTGACCTTATAAACAAATTTCTAGCCAAGACTGACCCATCACTTCTGAAAATGTAAAATACACGAAAAACTGTGCATTTCAGCGGTCTCGTACGCAGATGAATTTTTACAAAATTAAGCTTTACGGCCGTCTTTCGGTAAAAGCAAAATAAAACAATTGTAAAATTAAAGTTAAAATAAATGAGAGTTTGTTATTTTTAAGGAAATAAACTTATAACAACAACTTGCTTTACGAAAGATTGTAATGCTTGGGAGCTGGGGTGAGTGTGTCCCGCCAGCCTGGGTATTCGTCAGCGGATGGGATGGACCTATGGATATATGCGTTAGTATAAATACCCACTATATTATTATACATCGCTAAGGGGTGATTAAAGCCCTTTAGCTTCTACCCGCATCGCAAACTTCCCGGAACATCAGACCCTAGGATAGGCCCGGACAAATCCAATGGGTAAATTTGACAATTTTATGCCGTGTATGTTTAATTGGAAAAATTATTTTGGAAGTTTACCCGCGGAAAAATTGGTTCAGGTTTTAATATGTAGTAGTCTATCTAAGTTGAACGGAGAAAACCCACTATAGCTGCACATTTTAGTATTTTGATTCAAGCCTTGCTTCTGGACGAAAACAATTTATGGCTTAAATGTTTGTAAGAGGATATGGTCAGCCCAGGGACTTCCATCTAACATTCTTGTGGTCGAGGGGATTCATCTTGTGCCGTTGCTCCATGATCATCATTATTTATATTTTACTAAATCAATTATTATTTCCCCTGCCGTTTAATACCTTGTGTCACTTTCCAACGTGCGGGATAATCTAGTAAACTTATGAGTCTTCAACCTGAGCCCACTACTATTGACCGATGAAGAAGTGTAATAATTATGAATATTTAGTTCATTTCCTTGTTCGGATAATTTATTTTTGTGTTTATCAGATACCGTGTTTGTTCTCTTGTTCGTTTTAATTATTTCTTGGTTTTTAGTCTTAGTGGAGAGACACTGGGGTTCGCTTAGCAACATTGCTAAAATGTGGCATCTTGCCTCCAAAACTTCAAGACATGAATGGCAAATGCAACTCCAAAAGTTACGGGATTATTTTATGGTAGTCCTTAGGTAACAGTTTAAATGAAAACGAGAAGAAAATATGTTAAGCAACTTAATTAAAACTATAAAGGTAACAAACTTCGAGGAACAGTTTGTTACAGTTAATGAAAATTCTAAAGTCATGTCTAACATTTGCTCACAACATGTGCATGTGGAAAGCCAGACTGAAGCACCCCCTCACCGGTTGCAAAGAGCCATGTTGTTTGGGAATGTCCATTTCATAGTCTTTTTTGAACCAGCGAAGTGCAATTCTGGCCAGAAGACGGAGCCTTCTTTGTCAAGAAAATGGCGCCCTCTAACAGGGTTCTCAACAATCTCTTTCTCACGTTATGGCATGAAGTGAAAACAAACATCCACAAACAATGATACTTAGGATTGACATTGCCGGAAGTAAAAGGTTGTAGATAAAATTCGTGCCATGTCCGTGCGGTATTACTTGAAGAACGCAAAGATGAAATTCTGACACGAGTGTTTCTTGACATAGATTCAGTTGGGAATCATTTTTCCAAAATTCACAGGACGTTATTAAGTGGCCCGTGTAAATTCTCCACTGGGCAGCTGGCTGCACAACTTGAAGGGTTTCGCTAGCTCACCTGTTTGA